TACGTAAGAGAAGAAGCCAGAAATGTCGACAATTACCCTTGTTGTTCTGTGTGATAACAAGACTGTAGGACTAGAAGTCTCAAAATTTCCTAAGCAAGCCAGATCAATTACATTTAGAGGAAAATTTTGTTATTGGATGCAGTGAAATGGTCCGACTGAATTTAAGGATAGGGTCATCTATTTATTACTTATATTAACAGTGTTACCGCCACACATAAATGACTCAGTTTGAGGCCTGACGGAGTTATACCCCTTTCTTTCGTGTTATATACCTCTCTCCGTACTCGGTTTTCTGTTATTTTTGAAATCCTTTACCTACAAATCCATTTGATATATCATCAGTCTCTTTAGAATTTGGGCAGTATCTAACAGTTTATATTAAGCTTTCAAATAAACCTTTAGATGTTCACCTTCCACAAATAACAAAAAATACAAAAGTGACTTTGAACTCTTGGACTACTGTACAAAATGTGGTGTACACAGTCAATATAGCCTATCAACGCCAGAGGACAACCAGTCTTAACTATCCGTCGTTAGCCTTGCTCCAAGGCTCTATAGTGCATGTAATTCTACCTTTCCAACAGGCAAATCTAGATAAACGTTCACTTCATCTAAGGATTCCAGTCTTTAATAGTGACAGCATGTTCTGATTATTAATATTATTCTAAAAGACTATTACAATGCGAAAGCTAATTACCATTGTATAAGAGACTTGTGCAAGTGTAATCTCTCGTATTAGGCGAAACAAAGACAAGGCGATTAAAGTCGCCCGGGTAAATCATGTCCCTGCTGAAGCAGTTTAAAATAATTTTGTTATTGATATCAAGGCCAGAAAACAACCAGTCTCCACTATCCTTCCTTAGCCTTGCTCCAAGGCAGTGTACTGCGTGCAATTCTACCTTTTACTAGTCAAGTCTAGATACGTGGACAATGCATCTAAGGATGCCAGTCCTTAATAGTGACAGCATGTTCTGATTATTTATTTTATTCTTAAAGATTACTGCCAAAGCTATTAGTTACTGTCTTGGAGACTTGTACAAGTCAATCCCTCGTAAAATGCGAAACAAAGACAAGGCGATGAAAGTTGCCCGGGTAAGTCCTGTCCCTGTCCCTTAAGTATGTCTCGTTATGTTCTGCTAATGGTGAAGTCCCCACATCATGTTCAGATGGTATAAATGCCGCAATACCAAAGCCTGTGACTTATGAACTAGGGTATCATTTTGGCATAAATTGGTACTTGCTGACGTATTTAAAATATTCCTGTATTTAATTTCTTTTGAATTACATTATTTCGCCAAGTATCACACACATTAAAGAAGGCATAACGGTTTTCTATATTCATATACATTAGTAAAACAATGTATCACAAACAACAATGTACGAGTACATGACAACTGATTGTAAAGGTATCAAAATAAATTTTCACACACAGCATTGTAGTTAGTTAGATAGATAGATAGATAGATAGATAGATAGATAGATAGATAGATAGATAGATAGATAGATAGATGGATGGATGGATGGATGGATGGATGGATGGATGGATGGATGAGATGGATGGATGGATGGATGGGAGGGAGGAGGAGGGAGGAGGGAGGGAGTTGTCCACTTGATAAGGGTTCTATCTTCAGCTTTATATTCGACACCCTGTCGGCAGGAAGTGGCCTTGTCTCTATAATGAAGAGGAACAAACTCGGTAATTCAATCTAGCTTCCACAGACCAGTGGTTGATAGAGTGAATGAGTGAGTGAGTGAGTGAGTGAGTGGGGCTGTCCACTTGTTTGGGGTTCTATCTTCAGAAAGATTTATGATTCATCCACGACGCCCTGTCAGATATCACATGTATCGCATTACAGGAAACGCAAAGGCACAGAGAGCAATGAGCCTGTTTGCGGTTCAAACACAGAATGTACGAAATATGGACAAAATGGCCGAAAATGTATCTTTACAGATGGTTTGGAGAGTGCACACCTGTTGGTAAACAGCATCCAAACTTGAGAAACATGTACTGGAACCATCCAACCAGATATGGCACAAATATCAGATGTATTCATGCATTTCAGCAAACGCTTCAAACAGGGTGCCTGTCTGGAAAACATGAATGGACGAAGTGCTGACAAAATGGCCGAAACTGTCTTTTTACAGATGGTTTGGAGAGTGCAGACCCCTTGTTATAGAGCATCCAAACTTGAGAAACGTGTGCTGGTACCATCCAACCAGATGTGGCACAAATGCCATGTGCTGAAGTTAAGCAAATACATTTCGTTGTATATCTTACATTTACTTGTTCTTTACACTTAAGTGTAACAGCAGAACTCTCTACATTACACATACAAGTAAATGCAGTGAAATAGAACCACTGAATTTGAATTTCAGATAGGGTCATCTATTTATTTTAATCACCCGTGAAGGTCCGGGTTAGAATTGATCTTCAGCAACCCATGCTTGTCGTAAGAGGCGACTAACGGGATCAGGTGGTCAGGCTCGCTGACTGGGTTGACACGTCATCGTATCCCAATAGTGTAGATCGATGTTCATGATGTTGATCCCTGCATTGTCTGGTCCAGACTCGATTATTTACAGACCGCCGCCATATAGCTGGAATCTTGCTGAGTGCGGCGTAAAACTAAACTCACTCACTCTCTCACTCACTCACTCATTCACTATCTATTATGATTTGTCAGAATAACAAAAGGTATTAGCGCCACACATAAATGACTCAGTATGAAGCCAAGCAGAGTTATCCCCTTTCTTTGTGCTTCATACACCTCACTCTCTTCTTTTGAGAACTTGGTGAAAACTCGGTTTCTGTCACCTAGTTTATAGATTTGATAAATTTAATTATAACCTATAAGTTTTACCACTGCAAAAAACATTGGAACAAATCTGTAAAATAGATGTAAACATTGAGAAGACTCCAAGGCCAAGTTGCTGGGTGGTACTTTCAGAACACCCTGTCGGGACGAAGTGACTTTGTATCTACATAAAAAGTGACAAATTAACGGAACTCTATAATAAAATCCATCCTCGACAAACCAGTTGTTGATATTGTGAGTAAGTGAGTTTGTGGCTTGTGCACTTTACAACGGTTGTATCCTCAGTTAAACCTACGTATTATATATGATACTCGCTTGTCAATAAGTGGAATAATATCTATGCAAAAAGACAACCCCCCAAAAAAAACCAACAAAAAACTAGTGGTTGATAGAGTGAGTAATCCCGTTGAGCATCCAACGTTAATATGTGCTGGTACCATCCAACGGGAATTACAGATGTCTATTAAACCATACCCTGTTGTCAGTAAGTCGCCTCATAGTAACAATATCAGTGTGTTCTGTCACAAACTTTATCCTTGACAGACAAGTGGTCACTAGATGAGTATGTGAGTGAAAGACCGAGCCCGTTGTCAAAAAGCAATCAAAACTGAGACACATTATCTGATACCGTCCAACCAGATATGGCACAATATCACATGAATTACAGTTAACTCTATGAGGGCGACAAGAAGTGGGTTGTTTGGGGTTCAAACAAACTTGTGGAACATGTACTGGTACCATCCAACAAGATGTGGCACAAATATCAGATGTATTTATGCATTACAGCTAACGCTAACCCACAACAGGGTGCCTGTCTGGGGTTCAAACACAGAATGGACGAAGTGATGACAAAATGGCCGAAAAGGTCTCTTTACAGATGATTTGGAGACTACGGACCCGTTGTTATGGAGCATCCAAACTTGTATTCATGCATTACAGCAAACGCTAATCCCCTTCAATATTCACTTTAAATTTAAGCAAATCAATTTCGTTTTGTGTTTAAATTTAAATATCGGATGTTTACTTATTCTTAACACTTAAGTATACCAGTACGCTCTAAATTTCCCAATACAAGCAAGAGTACACATTCATGTAAATACAGTGAAATGCACTAACTGAATTTAAAGTCTCAGATAGAATCATCTATTTATTGCTTATTATTTTCATTTGTCAGAATAACAAAAAGTATTACCGCCTCACATAAATGGCTCAGTTTGAAGCCAAGCGGAGTTATCGCCCTTTCTTTGTGCTTGTACATACGTCGTCGCTTTGAGAACTTGGTAAAAACTCGGTTTCTGTCACGTAGTCAATTTATTTATCTCCATCAAAGTGCAATGATATCGGTAATTAAATCTAGCTTCGACAAACCAGTGTCAGTGAGTGAGTTGTACACTTATTAAGGAGTAATGTTTAAATGTTATCTATGTTATTCTGTTGTCTGTAAGTAGCTTTGTATCGCCATCAAAGTGCAATAATATCGGCTTTGACAAACCAGTCTTTTGGAGAGTGAGTGAGTGAGTGAGTGAGTGAGTGAGTGAGTGAGTGAGTGAGTGAGTGAGTGAGTGAGTGAGTGAGTGAGTGAGCTTGAGTGAGGGAGGGAGGAGGGAGGGAGCGAGGAGAGCGAGCGACCTTACCACCACAGCATCCTCTGTCACTGTTAATTCAATTTGTGGGAAATTGCTAGTACGCTTCATTTTTGTTGAAAGAAGCGTTAGAAAAATGTGCTAAAAACACCGTTCATTGTCTCTGTGCAGACCCGGGAATGAGCGGAAACACAAATAGTTCACACTGTGAGTGATAGAATGACAAACCAAGGGTTGAAAGTGCCAGCATTGCGCCGCTCTTTGTCATTTATCTGGCTTAGAAGACGGCCGGCACCTCAGTGTATACCTGTGACGTCACCAGCAGTGTGACGTCACTGTCACTGTACAAATGGCGCCATATCAGCTGGGGTGAACCTCACCTCAGCCTGAGGTCACAGAGTGCAGCGACATGTAAACAAACAGTTTGTTGTTGTCTGTTTCACAATTCGCGATATTCTCAGAACAAAATTAACACAGAATTATGTTAAAACGGGCGACGTTTACGTACAATCACTCACCGTTCATGTTTACACTCACTTCACAATTTTCTTACCTGATCCTGCGAGGTTCCAAACACAACAAATGACAAAATGTCTGAAAATACTTTCAACAAGTTTTATTTATATTCAGAAAGTAAAAAAATCACGTGAATCGTGACACAAGACAACGTGGACGGCACACACCTCGTCAGTGTCAGTAACGACATGTGCACCGTCACTGTCCACACCAACACCGACTTCAGTGTCCACCACGTGACACCAGGAACTCCACCACTCGCTGATGTCCCCGGCGTCTCGCGTAGTAGACCGCTGTCCGCCCGTAGTTGTTCCTGGCGTTGATGTCCACCACGTTCCTGGACACGATCAGCTTCACCGATCTCCAGGTCTCCACCATAACAGGCCAAGTGAAGGACGTTGTCACCGCCCCTGTCCACCAGCGACACATCAGCCCCTCTACCCACCAGGAACTCCACCACATCGCTGTGTCCCCCAGTGCTGCCGCCATCACCGGTGTCTTGCTGTAGTCTCCTCTCGTGTTGATGTCCACGTGACCCGCTGCCAGGATCCGCTTCACTCTCTCCAGGTCACCGGCCCTGCTGGCGGAGTAGAGGCGGCGGCCTGCTGCTGGTGATGGAGTCGCTGCAACACAAAGTAAACTGTGTACATCAGACATCTGTGTCACACATCTACAATGTTTTCATCATGTTGATACGTGACTCGGACATTGCTACATCGTTTAAACAATTCCATCATGGCTGACAACAATACAACATGGCGGGAATGTCAACTTGTGTTTTCTGGAATTATGGATGGTGTGTTTAATACAGAACTTTCTGTTAGAACCAGAAGTTGTAGCAATATCTTGTGTTCGGCTGGAGAGTGTTAACGTGCGTTGAACTTTACAAGTTGATAATGTCAGTACAACTGTTGTTTGGTATTTATTAGGGCAATAAGATATAAGGCTGCCTGCTGGGTTTTCCCACCTACCGTGTGGATCAGAGTCTTGTGTCGTCACTGGCGTTGGTGGAACCGTGGTGTTCGGGCTCGGGTCAGTCGAGGCTGAAACAGGGAATATGTTGTTCAGAAAACTATATATAACACACATGTATTATAACTACTGGCCTCTGCAGGGATTGGGATAGATAACTTTGACAATGGGCCATTTTCTGGATTATTAGTCATTTTCTGAATCCAATCCCTGGCTCTGTTTTTGCCTTTCCACATATGTTGTGCCTTTCAATATTATGTACTATTAAATTCTAAATGCATCTCTTATGGAAGAAGTATCAAAAATATATGGTTCAATTTGATTGAGATAACTGTTCATCGAGACCGAGTGTCTATGCAGGAAAAAAGTAAAACTTCTTATATTTAGTTTTTACAGTTTGAAATCCTGTGATTGACAACATGAACGTCGATCGATATAATAGGTGAGACTCATCCCTCAAGTCAGAATCTCCACGGGTATATACATTAGCGTGATAAATGTAGGCAAATTAAGGACTGAGCTTCCTGCCTGCTGGGTTTTCCCACCTACCGTGTAGATCAGAGTCTTGTGTCGTAACTGGCGCTGGTGGAACCGTGGTGCTCGGGCTCGGGTCAGTCGAGGCTGAAACAGGGAATATGTTGTTCAGAAAACTATAACACACACGTACTATAACTACTGACCTCGCTTTCCACAATGTTTAGTCTTTCAATATTATGTAGTATAAATTCCAAATACATCTGTTATAGCAGAGGTAATAAAACTGTACGTTTCGATTTGATTGAAATAACTGTTCATCGACCGCGTGTCTATGCCCGAAACAAAGGGCACTTTCTAAATTCATTTTTACAGTTTGAATCTGAAAATGTAATAAGCCGTACACTGACTGTGTGTTAACAGCTGAGATGCTCCTCTTTGTTCAAATGTAGTAAATGAATACATAGTGAATGAATACAAATGTAGATTGTTATTTTGTTTTGAAATGTAAATATGAACGGTGTAACTAAAGAATCTGTTCGCCCTCAGGGTTAGGGTTAAGTTGGGGGGTTAAGAGCATATTCTACGGGGACCGTATATATAAACATACATGAGTATTCACATCATCACACTGAAAGAAAATATTCTACGGGGACCGTATAGATAAACAACAAAATTCACATCTGCACTTATACCTATTCCTCTTTATGGAATGACTACCTTTTAAGTTTGAATTTATTAACCGTAGCTCATCAGGAATTCAAAGATACCCTTCCTTCACATATGGATACAAAATGCATGAAATAGTTACTACATTGTAAAACAACATCAAGCGACCACTTGACTTGATGTTTGTGCAACACAGTTGTAATACAGCGTCAGGCAAACTCTGTCAGTCTGTGAAGCACTCACAAAATGTCAGAATACCGAGCGATGCCGGCAGTGCAATTCTCACACAACAACAATACATATTACTGTCTGATGAGGAAACTGTAGCTGACACAACCGTACAGCACTTGTTGTTGGAAGCAATGTGCTTTGATAAACAACAAGGGTACAAACACGTGACAGCATGCGGTGGTCAAGATCGAAATGTCGGCTGTACGAGAGATTAACACTGACTGACTGACTGAGTTAGTTTTACGCCGCTTTTAGCAATATTCCAGCAATATCACGGCGGGGGACACCAGAAATGGGCGTAACACATTGTGCCCATGTGGGGAATCGAACCCGGGTCTTCGGCGTGACGAGCCACGAGAGATTAACAATCCGTCTGTTTCAACATTAGAAATAACGAGAATAAAGCATATTTGCACTTCCATAATCTACATTCCATTGCATTTTTTTAAAATGTTGCAGAAATGCATATGTTCCACTTAAAGGTTTCAGTGTTAAAAGAGTAAATCTACATGTCTTCTTTGTTAAACACCTTTAAACTGATAGAACCGTGCGCTATAGCGGGGATGTATTTCAATTCAATGCAGCTCTTCATTGACGCAGAATAAAAAAATAAACACATTTGAAATCAAATACTTGACTGGACAGATTTAAAATTATCTCGCATAAAGTCTTCCGATCCGTGAGGGTTCATGCTATCAGGTCAAAGGATAACGCTTACAAGCACATACTGTGATCAAATATAACAAGTCTATCGGGTGAAACGCCGCGTGATGTTTACCCAGACCTTCCTTCATTCCCACCGGTGACAGGCTAAACAAACGTCTGAGTGTAAACATTGTGTGAAGCAAGCACTTATTTCCCACAACATTCATATTGCTTTACAGCAGTCGTACAATATACATTTACACTATTGCATCTAATTTCCTAAATCAGTTTAAAATCAGAAAACTGCGAACTTACCCACCAATAACGTCCTAACACGAGCGACACATCTCACTGCCAGCTATGAAATGGCCTTGACTGGCGATACCACGACCGCAAAGCTGCCAGCTATGACGTCATTGTGACGTGTTAGGTTAGAAGCATGGCAACGTTTGGCGCTCGACTGCTTGGACTGATCAACACCTCTGCATGGAAATATTTCTATCCGACCCGTGTTTGCACTTCGGTTTTATCTAGTACTTTTTGAGTTGTGCCCCATCCGGGATTTGAACTCACACCCTCAGATTCAGGCACCTAATCGCCAGCACACAAAGTCAGCCGCCTAACCCACTCAGCTACCGCGACTTCAACAAAAATGGAAGTCGGGACAACTGGTAGTCTAGACTGCGGACTTTGTGTACCCCTCTGATGAGTGTTAATTGGCACGGCTCCCACGGCCGAAAGCTATGGTTACACAATGCCATTTAGAAAGTGGTCAAATATAATATATGTTATATTTTGGATTACATTTTCTTAGTAAAGTACAAAGGGATCAACTCAAAAAGTACTAGAATTTGTACTTTACTAAGAAAGTGTAATCCCAAATATAACATATATTATAGCATAAATGTCCCTTTCAATACACGTTATATGTGGATAGCATTAGACGGTATCCTCTCACTTAGCCAGATTCTGTCATTTTGAAACTGGTCTACACATAGCCAGAGTGGGATCTGGCTGACCAGGGTTAATGTTTTGATAACGCATGCCCAGATGAGTCATATAGTCTGTATCAACAAAATGCTCAATTAGTGAGATTCGTGAATTTTGTATTGAAACACATTTGGATGGTATTATTTGAAATTCTTTACATTTTACAGAGAATGTAAATAAAAATATGCTTGGTGCAAAATATGTAGTGTATTAAGAAAATTATGAGAAATGGTGGCTGAAAATGTTAACATATGATCCATGCTTCTTTGTTGTAATATTACACACACGTGTGGACACCCCATATATCGAGTGCAAGTATCCACTTCTGAATACCAGCCTAATCATTGAGTGCTAGCAGGGATAATCTACAATGACAATTATATACTCTCCCTGGTGCTAGTAACCACTTCTAAATCCTAGCCTATTCACAAAGTCAACAATCGGTTCTAAAGTAATGCTTTTTTGCTGCTTGTTGAGAACCTGTTCTTAAGTCAAGCCTATTTATGTATGTTAGCATCCACGTTTTAACAGTGATAAACAGTGCCAATACCACTCAACACGTGTACGACAAGGTAACATTTTAACTGTTACACTTACAAATTCCATTCACATGTGTATTGCTGTATGAACAATGTGTTCGACGTGTTGGGCGTGATACGACGAGGCGAAATCGCCCGATGGAAGAATTAAGATCAGAGCTTAGTTCGCCATCGGACGCTACTTCCGCGGTTGCAAATCGAATCAGTGTCGGATGAATGTCGAGTCAGTCAGATTCGTGTTGTGCAACGATCAGACGTGTCTAGCTGACGTCTGACGGCAATCTGATAGTGTCCGATGATTAAGAGTCATCGAACGCTCATGTGATTCCCATCTGCGTCCATCAACAATTCGATTCTCATCGGAGGGTAACATGACATTTAGCACCGTCCGATTGCTTTCCGTTGTGACATCGGAGGGTAATCGCTCATTAACTCATCAACGCCTAGCAAGCGGTAACATGAGACGGCCAACGGACTACAAAAGGAGGGTCAGCCGACGCTCACTCCGCAGATTTTTATCGGACACTACAGCACCAAGATTCTGAAGATGAGTCCAAGAAAGAACAGAAATGTTCGAGGAGAGAAGGCAAAGAAGCGACTGCAAGATGCCTTAGGGTGCAGGCTAACTTGAGACCAGGTTCACATGCCTTAGGGTGCAGGCTAACGTGAGACCAGGTTCACATGCCTTAGGGTGCAGGCTAACGTGAGACCAGGTTCACATGCCTTAGGGTGCAGGCTAACGTGAGACCAGGTTCACATGCCTTAGGGTGCAGGCTAACGTGAGACCAGGTTCACATGCCTTAGGGTGCAAGCTAACGTGAGACCAGGTTCACATGCCTTAGGGTGCAGGCTAACGTGAGACCAGGTTAACATGCCTTAGGGTGCAGGCTAACGTGAGACCAGGTTAACATGCCTTAGGGTGCAGGCTAACTTGAGACCAGGTTCACATGCCTTAGGGTGCAGGCTAACGTGAGACCAGGTTCACATGCCTTAGGGTGCAGGCTAACGTGAGACCAGGTTCACATGCCTTAGGGTGCAGGCTGCCAGGTTCTGCCTTAGGGTGCAGGTTAACATGCCTTAGGGTGCAGGCTAACTTGAGACCAGGTTAACATGCCTTAGGGTGCAGGCTAACTTGAGACCAGCTCTCCTGACATAGGTATCACCCCTTCGTGAGTCTGGGTTCGGCAGTAGTTCATCAAAACATTCTGGCCTAACTCCCAAGAAATTGAAGAATGCCGTTGTATCCTCCATTCTCAGTTCATTCATAAGTCTGATGAAGAACCATGTAACATCCTTCTGTATATCAGCTTGCAGACATGGTTGAACCCAATAACGACGTGGTCTTCCAAGCCTCCTTCTCAGGACCTCAAGGGTCATTGCATCTTGTTGCATAAAAACAAAGCCCAGGGCTGCAGTGGTGCGAGGAAGTACATCCATGACTAGTACTGTCAGGAGGTGCAGGCCGCTTTTATACTCGACTGCCGATTTCGCGACATATCCCACCTGTGTCCGAGTACCATACGAATAGTAACCAATTTGTCGGATTGGTGTCGGGAGAGTGTTGAAAGTGTCAGATTAGGGTCAGGTCACCTCCGAAATAAAATCCAACCGCAGTCGGATCAGCCGTACGCCTCCGATGAATATGGCGGATGGACATCGGGCCGCTACCAGTCTTTCATCCGATTAACCCGATCAGTGATGGATCTCTATCGGATTTTACAGAAAAAGGGGACCCCCAAAAATGGATATGGGGGTGAATTTTCATCGGAACTCATCGGAACGCTGATATGTTCGCATAATGTGTATCAGATGGGCTTAAGATGAGGTTCCGATGATCAGTTGAATGGGGCAATCCATGCTTGACGTAAGAGGCGAATAACGGGACCTGGTGGTCAGGCTCGCTGACTTGGTTGACACATGTCATCGTATCCCAATTGCGTAGATCGATGTTCATTCTGTTGATCACTGGATTGTCTGGTTGACACTCAATTATTTACAGACCGTCGCCATAATTCTGGAATATTGCTGAGTGCGGTGTAAAACTGAAGTCACTCACTCACTTAGCCTCTCAAA